AGACAAGATACGTACATACTGAAACTGCAATACATACGAGTCAGCGGTATTTCAAGTGCAGTAAACTTTATATAAACGTAATAAACACATCATTACAAATGATGCATTACAAATAAACAAACTAGTTGAAACTACAAATGGAGATTTAAAAATTGTATATAGATAAATAGGTATGTGCAAAGCGAAATATATATTTACTTTTATTACCTATTTGAGGTTAATTTTAAAATCATTTTAACTCATAAACATTATTAAAGGTGATCTACAGTCCGTATGTAAACAAAGCCTTTGTTTACATTTTTGTGTCCAAAATATTGAGCTTTATTCGACAACTATTTATATTTTCAAGCTTCTAGAGACTAGAGTATAATAAATGATCAAGAAACAACAATCAGGCTTTTCAAGAACTCAAAACATAGTTAAACTGTTTGTATCATAAAAAGTGGGCTCATTTGTGCACATGCGCAGATCGGACTGTAGATCACCTTTAATATACCGTAGCCAACGTGTTTTTATTTTCCAAGGGAAAAATATAGCCCACATGCATGTGGCATAGTATTTAATAATATTGGTGACATATATTCATAGGAAAACACATGGTGGTCAACTTTGCACGTTTGTCGCTTTATATGACTTGTGGAAGTGAGCAAATTTTGTTAAATGTCCTATATTTTCTATTGAATACAAGGTGAATTAATATAATGAATAATGAACTCAATCCAGTAACTGTGTTTCCTAGTTTTGGAGTTGACCACCAAGTGCTAAAGTGTCACATGATTCAGATTGAAACCCAACTATGGTCGCATGACTGTTTAGTCTGTTAGTCACTCTTTTAATCTGCCTTGTGCAATTGGCCATTACTCATTAGCATTCGAATCTTGCAGTCCGGCTTGGCTAATTGACTATTTAATAGAGCAACATAAATAATAAATATTTACTAATAATTAGTAATAATTATTAGTTAGAAATATTAATAATATTTTATTGCTTTAGGGAATACTATACAGTAACCTAGCCAGAGCCGCCCCCCTCAGAAAATGTTGCCCCCTCCCGATACATCTAACTTTTGTATGCCTTGGTTAAGCTGTCCCTCCCCCTGGGTCCACAAATTTAAAATTTCAAAGTCTGAGTGCATATTTTTGGAAATACAACATTTGAATTTTTCTTATATTTTCCCTAGAAATTATGTACAATAACACAGTAAATTCTTAGTAAAATGTTCAAGGAAAAGGATCTTCCAACAGCAGCAGATGACACAGAAAATCTTTAGTAAAATGTTCAAGGAACAGCGGCAGACAACACAATAAATCTTTACTCTTTCTAAGGCTAGATGATTTTGCTCATCAAGGGGAGTCATGCAACTAAATATGTTAATGAATCAGTATTACAACCGATTTCAACTTAATTATATTTAACATTCACTTTATCCCATTTACTGGCAGTACTCTACCACTGATGAGTAATTAATCGTCTGGCGTTAGACAGAGTAAATATACTAAGTAGGCACATTTGGGCACATTCAAATTGTCAGTTAATGAGTTAATATTAACAACATTAAAAACAGACTAGGGTGTCAAAGGCTAGGCGGATGCTTCTTTGCCTGCAACAAAGCATAAAGTGGGTCTGCCACATGATCAATTTCAGCAATGAAGGGAATCAATATTTAATAAAATAATTGTTGTCAATTAATAAAATAATTGTTACAAATTGTTGGGTTAATAATTATTGGGTTTGTTGCCTCCAAGGAATGCATCCACCTAACCTTTGACATCCTAGTCAACTGTTTTTAACATGTTGTTCATATTATTATGTGTATGAAAATATGAAAAGTTGAAATATGTTGTGCTATAGTAGACTATGCAGTGATTATGCATATTTAGCACTTGTTTCTGACTTTCTGTTTATAGTGTTTTATTGATGTATCTTGAAAAGCCATGCAGTGATGTATATATTAATTAAATAATAGCATTAATCCTCAAAGACAAAGGCAAATGTAAATTACATGGTCTTAAGCGTTGTGCAATGCCGTAGTTGTTGAAACTAGTACGTGATTTGCACATTTTCACGGTGCATGACTACTGCAACGGTTAATTCGTTCGATGTTATTTGACGTGTTTTATTTGAATTCGCGGACTATTTTTACTTAAGGGTACGTTTGAAAGAAACAGAAATACTTAAAGAGGCAAATTAAGTGTAGTAACGTATACTTTGGCTCAAATACAACAATATAAGCAATTATATTTTTCCCGTTGCCGTTATCGTTGCCGTTCTAGGTTGCCAAACTCTCTAATGGGAGGCAGGGAGGGGGGCCATGCAGTGGCGTAATGGAGGAAGAGGGGCAACCCCAAATTTTGAATACTTTCCTACTCATTTTCAATCCCTTGCCTTTATCATATTTCAGTAAGATTTACTATATAATTCTAAAGCACATATGCATCTTTCGACCTTTATAAAGACATACTATATTATTATATGAGTGTAGTACTGCAGTAAATCGATAAAGGTTTTATGTATGCATAATTTGGATATTATTATTAAAATATTGCACACACGGACGACACGGTATTCGTATGAATATTTATAAGACAAATTTACATATTGAAATTAGTTCACTTACCAAAAAGTGCATTTGACTTGATACATCTCCAACCACTACTTGTTTTTATTTTGTACTCTTCAAATTTCTCAAGCATTTCTGCTTGTGAAGCGTAAACAAGCACTCGGTCACTCTTCGATGGAAGCCATATTGCTTTGGTTTCGCGCGTTTTTTTCCAATTTCGCGCACTAATTTATTTGAATTTTAGGATATAGATTCATGTCTCGCTAATAGGGTTAGCGGTTAGGGTGGGGATTAGGGTTAGCATTATAAATAGCGAGACATGAATCTATAACCGAATTTTAAAGATGGAATACCGCTGACTCGTATGTATTGCAGTTTCAGATATGTACATATCTTGTCTATGATCTAGTGCCGACCGAAAAAAAGGGATTTAAGACACTTGGCCTACAGGCCAGTTTAATTATAAACACTAGGAAAACAGCAGGAATGCGGGGAATTCATATACGGTCAAGAATGTATGTAAACATTGTGTAATAGGTCAGGATTAGGGTATAGGTTTAGGGGGGGTGGGGTCTCAGGTTAGGATTTTAAATACAAATTATATAGTGCAAAATAACTATATACCGCATCTCTAAGACCATGAATGGTCTCCGCATTTCCATGTTTGCCTGTTCATGATCAGTACGGCAAACGCACCTGAAGTTATATTCCTATGTTTTGTGCATGGGGAAAAAACTACATGAAAACGATACCGGTGGGCAAGGTCAGGGTCGCCGAGAGGGGGGGGGGCAGGGGGGAGGGTAAATTGTCTCGGGCCCCCAGGCTCTGGGGGCCCCTAGAAATTTGATGTTAGAAATTTAATGGGCCCCAGTCATTTTTTCGGGCGAAATATATCTCATGACATTTCTCAGGCCAGCAAAAACAATATGCATATATAAGAGGGTCTTAATGGGGGTCTTTGGGTGTCAGTTGTCAGCTAAAATTTAAGCCAGTTGTCAGTTGTCAGTGCGATATATTGCAAGCTGTCAGTAGTCAGTTACTGCAAAAAAGCTGACTCATCATTTTTTCATAATTTCTCAGTTGTCAGTTAGGATATTTTATCAGTTGTCAGTCAAAAATTCAGGCAAATGTCATTAGTCAGTTAACCCCATTCAGACCCTCATATAAGCCTCCAATTTTTCATGCCAATTAATACTGTCAAAGCTCCATCGTGCAGCAGATGGTGGACAGCCAACAGAAGACAACACCAGAGTGAGAAAATAATCAATTCTTTTCATTCTTTTCATTTTTTTCTTTTCTTTTCTTTTCATTCTTTTCAACAGCCAACACCAGAGTGAGAAAATAATCAATTCTTTTCATTATATACAACATTTCCGAAGTTGAACACCATCTGCCGTTGCGAAAATAATTCAGAATATAGAGTCTTTATATACATACTTTTGTCTGCTGTTGTTGACGTTGTTGCCCCCATTGCATAAATATATCTAATAGGGAAAACGTCTTTTATTAAACACCGTCATAATAAACACATTTCCCTCGAGTACGTCTTGACAATACTAGTTTCATTTCATTTCTAAATTCGAACCTTTCTTTTCAAAATTTTTTCCCCAAAATTTCTGTTTCACTTTCTTGGAAAAATAGAACGCCTTGGCTATTCGTACTGGAACAGTACGCCGAGTTTGATTTGCTATTCGTACTGCAGTCGTAATATATAAGATAAACCTGACCCCAACCCCAACCCCTTCTCTAACGCTAACTAATAAAGGTCTAACAAACTATTTGAGAGCTAAAAAAGTTAAAAAAGTCAACAGAAAACCGACAACTAAAACTAAACCCGAACCCGATCGCGTTTCACTTCGCACGCGCGCAACGCCTTTCCCGAATACGTTAGCGGCAAGCTCGCTAAAAGCCGTTGCAAAAAACTATTTTACAGTGCTACTTTACGTAATGTAAGAATCCGGTACCATACTCGAGTACGAATAGCCACTTCGAAAATAGAGCCCACAGTACTTTAGTTCAGAGGTATAGCTTGGGAACTTCGTGTAGTACTACATCAGCTTTATCTGGAAGTATAGTCAAAGGCGTAGCCAGGATTTTTGGTCAGGGGGGGGCAGCAAAAACTTAGGTAGGGCCAGATTTCACTTATTTTTATAGAATAAATTGTCTCAGGCGGAGGGGAGCGTGGCAAAATTTTACCAGGGGTATAGAATAGACTGAATGATGATTTATTACAAATGTCAATCAACGTTGTTACATGCTTCGAGATTAATTATTAACTTATCGCATGCTACAAATACTACATTACTCTCCCTCTATTTTTTTTTAACTGAATGTCAACCACTTAATAAAATGTCCTTGCCTTGTGTTCATACTTATGTAAATCAATGTTGTCTGATGTTTCTCTAATTTAAACGTTTATATCGTTTTACTGTTTATAACATCAAGTCTGGTACTGATATCGTATTACCGGTCTTTTCATTCTTGTTGATCTCCTTACACTTGGTTTGTGCTTTGGTGGTTCCTCTGTTTCCGTCGATCTTCCCGGTGCTGTATCTTCCTGCTCCTCCTCGCTTTCCTCCATTACTACCTTCTTAAAGTGTGAAACGTTTCTTGTCACCGTCTTACCATCTCTTTCAGCTATGATGGTGTTGTACTTACGTTGTACTACCGTATAATGTTCTGGGTCAAACTTTGATGTTAACTTATTGTTCTTCTTCTGTTTACAAATGACGATGTCACCCTTTTTTATCCCAGCTTCCTTTGTTCTTTTGTTTCGGTCGTAGTACTCTTTGTTCTCTTCTTTCTTCTGCTCCAAGTTCTGCTTCGCCCTCTTGTGTCTATTAACTACTTTTTTTCTTGTGAGTTCTGGTAAATATCCCCGAATTTGTCTGTTAAAAAGTAGTTCACACGGAGCGACTTTAGTAGTTTGATGAGGAATTGAACGGTATTGAAGTAGAAACCCTTGCAGTTCTTGCTTCCAATTCTTTCCTTCAATATCAGCTGTTTTCAAGAGTTTTCCAATTGGTTTCATAAATCTTTCTACGACGGCATTACCCTGGGGCCATAGTGGTGTAATTGTTTTCCATTCAATACCAAGGGTTTTAGTGTATGTTTCAAATTCTTTCCCATTAAATGGGGGTCCATTGTCAGTTTTTATTTTTGATGGTATTCCATATCTGGCAAATATCGTATCTAATTTTGGTATGCAAGTTTTTGCTTCGGTTGAGTTGACTATTTCTACCTCTGGGAATTTTGAGTAGGTATCGATAACCACTAGCAGGTATTGACCAGTTCGGGGTACTGGACCATAGAAGTCGATTGCTACACTAGTCCATGGTTTGTCTTCGGTTGGTGTTATTTTCATTGGCTCCGGGTTATTACCGTGACCTACTGCTTGGCAAGGAATGCATTTGTCTACCATTTCTTTCACTCGTTTGTCCATATTTGGGTACCAGATCTTTTCGCGTAGTAGGCTTTTCGTTTTCTCAATTCCCTGATGCCCGATATGACCTAATTTTGTTGCTCTTTCTTGTAATGTTGTTGGAATGACCAGCCGTGTGTTCTTCAACAGTATACCTGCTGATGCATTGTACGTAAGTTCGTCGGCGCAAAGTCTAAACGGTTTAAGATCAGGATCGTTCTCATCCCATTTTCCCTCTTTCAGACATTTCTTAACTTTTTGTAATACTGGATCGTTATGGGTTGCTTTTTTAATCTCGTCAAGTGTCATTGACTTTGGAACTGAACAGTTAGTTACATAGTTCACATATTCTTCTGCTGATGTACTCGTTATTTGTTCTCTCTCTATAACAGCTGGATGTCTACTTAAGTAGTCAGCTTCGTTTAAGGATCCTTTGCGGTAAATGACTTTGAAGTTGAATGGTTGTAATCGCATCATCCACCTCTCGATGCGGGCTGGTGGTCTGGATCTTGGGTTATTGAATATAGATTCTAATGCTTTATGATCAGTTATCACATCGAATTCTGATCCAATCAAGAACATTCGAAAATGCTCAATTCCCCATACTAAGCTAAGTCCTTCAATATCTGTTTGAGAGTATCTTGTCTCAACTGGGCTGAGTGCTCTGCTTGCATATGAAAGGATTTTGTACTGCTGGCTGTGATGTTCTTTCTGTGCTAGTATTGCACTAATTCCATAAGGGGAGCCATCTACGATTACTAGACTTCGTTTCTTTGTATCGAAATATGCCATAACTGGGGTACTTGTTAGTTTCTTTTTCAGTTGCTCAAATGCTTTCTGATGTCTATTTTCCCACTTAAACGCAATGTTTTTCTTGGTTAGTTCTCTTAGAGGTGCTGTAATAGTTGCATAATCTGGAATGTATTCGTGGCAAGTGTTGGCCATTCCCAGAAAACTTCTAACTTCTCCAGCAGTTTTGGGAGCTGGTACTCTAACCATGTTCTCAATTCTCTCTGGATCTGGTTTGGTTCCTGCTGCTGTAAATTTTAATCCGAAGAATGTAATTTCGTCTTGTAGAAATTCACATTTTTCCCCTTTCACTTTCAAGTTTAGTGCTGCTAGCCGTTTTAGACAGTTCTCTAGTGCTTCATCGTGTGACTTTCGGGTTTTACCATGAATAATAATATCATCCACCAGGTTTTTCACTCCTCTGATATCGCTAAGGTTTTGTTGTAGCACATTTTGGAATATCTCGGCTGCACTGTTCGTACCGTAATTTAATCTTTTATACTGGAACAGTCCTTCATGGGTAGAAAACGTTGTAATGAATCGACTGTCCGGGTGTAATTCGAGCTGGTGATATGCTTGCTTTAGGTCAATCTTTGAGAAGAATTTTGCTCCATTTACCTCAGCTTTAAAATCTTGTAAAGTTGGCATTGTGTGTCTCTCTCTTTCGATTGCCTGGTTTGCTTCCCTCATGTCTACACATAGTCTGATACCTCCGTCTTTCTTTGGCGTGACGACTATTGGAGATATCCATGGTGTTGGTTGATTGGCAACTTTCTCGACAATGTCTTGCTCTTCTAGTTTCTTTAGTTCCTTCGAAACATCCTTTCTCACATGATATGGTATACGTCTTTGCCGCTGCATAACTGGTTTGACATCGTCTCGGATATGAAGTTTAATTTGTTGATTGTTCAATTTTCCTTGCCCCTTGAAAACTGTACTATATTTGTTTATCATTTCTTGTATTTTGGGGTCTTTTGATTGAGGAACACTTGTGTTGATTTCTGGATTGGTCTCGCATGCAGTGCTGTGTGTATTGTTTTGATTTGTCTTTGTTTGTTTATCTTGTTCAGGAAAACCGGAAATTGTATTAATTAGCTGGACCAAGGCCAAATCTTGGGCTGTTTTAGCACTTAATAAATTTCCTCCTGCACCGTCTATTACATATATTTGCGAAACGGTATAACGCTTTTTCGATTCGAGTGTTGCTTGAAATTGTCCGTTTAGAGGCAGAGGTGTGTGAAATCCATATGCGTAGATTTTAGTTGAACTTTTACGTAATGAACTTTTCCTCTTTAATTTCGCGTATGTCGTAGAATCAATGATGTCAACAGTCGCGCCAGTGTCAACCAAAAATAAAACGTCCTGTCCATTTATTTTTACGGTCGTGTGTGTTTTCTCCCTCGTTTCTTGCGATACTGTGTAAACATAATCCTCTTCTTCCGAGCTTTCAGTATTTGGTTCGCTTTGTGATATTCCAACAGCCTTTGCTTGTTGTTTTCGTTGTTTATTCTCATCCCATCGTGATTGGCGCCTTTTGTCTGGGGAGGTAAAACCTTGCGTTTGTAATTTCTCAAGGTTTCCCTTACTTGCGAAAGATTTTCCTCGTGTTCGACAGACTTTAGCGAAGTGTCCCTTTATTCCGCAGTGGTTACAAATAGCAGACTTCGCTGGGCACGGTTGATTGTCGTGTGGATACTTGAAACCGCAGTAATAACACTTTTTCTCAGTGGGCGTTGTCATAGCCATTGCATTAGTTGCATTTATATTTTCCCTTGTTTTGAATTGTTCTTCGATCCCAACGGCTTGAGCTGAACTAGTTTCGTATTTTCGTCCATCGATTAACATGTTTGCCAAACTATATTTTGGGTCTTGTAGTGCTTTCTTTCGTAATCTTGAAGAAGTGCCGTTCGTTACAATCTGCATCTTAATTTCAAAATCTATGTTTGTAAATTCGCAATATTTTGCCAAGCCTCGTAAACGCGTATGAAATTCGTCGATTGATTCCTCTTTGCCTTGCGTCGCTTGTCTAAAAACATAGGTGCGATATATCACGTTTTTCTCTGGTTCAAAATACTCCGTCAACGCTTTCACTGCTGACTTAAAATCTTTGGTTTCACCCTCTTCTAGAGTCTTGAAAATTTCGTGTACTTCGGGCCCCGCCTGATACAATAATAAAGCTCGCTTTCTCGCATCGTCTTTAATATCTGCTGCGAGTAAATATGTGTTGAATCTCTCCAGCCATCGTGTCCATCTCGCACTTGTACTTGTAGGATCACTCCTTGGTTCAAAAGCTGGCATAGGCTGTATATTTTGTGCCGCCATTCTAGTTTTCCGTTATATTTTTCACGCTGTTTAATATTTTTACATCCTCGTCGCCATTATAGAATAGACTGAATGATGATTTATTACAAATGTCAATCAACGTTGTTACATGCTTCGAGATTAATTATTGACTTATCGCATGCTACAAATACTACAAGGGGGTCCCAGCCCCCCACTCTGGCCACGCCTCTGAAGATAGTTAAATGGTTTTGTAGATATAAATTAAATAGTATACAATGGGGTATTGGGTTACTTTATTACCGTGGCTATAAACTAGGCATGTTTTCGGCATACCGGGGCTTCGGTGAGCCGGTCGTCAAAGCAAACGCTTTAACTCAGTAATTCACCTCTTGAGTTCGTGAGTTCGATTCTGTGATTCATTTCTCGCTACGGACTCATGCTGAAAGTATAGTGGGTTCTCTCTCACAGGGAAAGTTGACAAGGTGGAGTCTATATTCCACTGAACACATGTGATCATTGTCTATCCTATGCTTGTACACACAATTTCGTTCAAAAAAAATCACCGTTAAGGTTAAAACGTGACGTCTAATATGACCTCAAAAAGAATCTAAACATTTTGGCTAAATCTCGTTGTTATTTTAGCATTTCACTTCTGGCCAAACGGTTGGTGGTCAAAATTTGACAATTTTCGTGTTTTAAAATATACATATTTATAAAACAGCGCTATCGCAGTCGTAGCCTACGTGTCGTATTTTGAACATTTTGTCAAACAACTCTACAAGTTTTCATTAATTCAAGATAAAAGACTTTCTTGAGTACAAATTCACACATATATACATTTATAAGTACAAATACGTGTCCATATAAACATGCATGCACGCTAAATAAAGTTTTGTACTCAAAAGAACAAGGCACGAACTGGACGTTAAGACATTGCAAGGCGCCCCTCCTCTTGTAAAACATAGTTCTATATAAATTATAGTTATATAATATTTGCTAAAAAGTTTATCATGCAGATTAACTTAATTCTTCAGTATTCTCATTTTATTTCGTATACAAATTAAATATTAATTTTTGTAACATCTTTCGATGAATTTAAATCTAGGACAATAAATAGCCTATGATTGATACTAAGTTCTCATTCCATAAAAGTTTAGTTTTCGTGCCAATGCTTCGTTCTTCTTGTTGATGTTGATGTCCTTAACAATAGAGTTAATGGAGTGCGCAAACTCAAGTGCTGGTTTTTCCCGCTGCTGTTCATTTCCCAAAAACATACCCCAACTGTGCAACGCTATAACTTCGCCGTTGTCATTTACAACCGGTGAACCTGATGCCCCGTGGCCTGTTTGACAGTTGTGAATCAACAAAAAATCCTTTCGCTTTTCAAGTTTGTCCCACTTCTCATAATTGTGGACGCAAACGACTTCTTTTACCTTTCCATCACAATGCTCATGACGACAGTATTGTTTTGTTTTGTCCTCAACCCATTTACGGATATTCTCTGAAGAGCTTGGTGTATGAAGCACCTTTCCAAACATGCATGACTTCGATTCGGCTTTTGGATGACCAATAACAGTGCCATTGCTGTTAGGATTAAGCCAACGCGTACAAACCTTTAAGCATTCTATACCAGGACAGTTGCTCTGAACCTTCAATACTGCGTAGTCCAAATCAACATTGGAAATTTCAGCTTGTTGCGCGACTTCAAATTCGACGCAGCTTGGCTGGGCCTTTGTCAGATAATCAAACTGAATAACTACTTTGATTTCGCGTTGAGTTTGACGTCTGCGTTGCATGATCGCGGAAATCACATGATAGTTAGTCATTATATAAGATTCACTTTCTTCCTTGGCAACAAGCCAACTTGTACCTGTGTAGGTTGGTTCATCGTCATCTTTGTTTTTCAAAGCAATCATACCGACAGATTTAGCACACTTTGCCATTCTTTGAACGTAGCTGACTTTTTTATTATAGAAGGGAAAAACAAAAAATGAAGATCTCGATAGTTGCCGACAACAAAGCAAAGTTTTGGTACTAATAATTATAAGAAGAAAGATGAGGACAGGGATTAGGATGAAAAGATAAAAATATCAAAGAGAATAAGAAGTTAATAAGAGCAACGATATGGTTAACGATAACACTAAAGATCACAATAAGGATAAGACCGAAGATGAAGATAAGACACACACATACATACACAGACACGCACAAACGCAGAAAAAAACGCATAACATAACCTCCTGGCGGTAATAATAGTGATGGTCATTATATTAACTGATTCATACCGTTCATAGATCCTTTGAGAGAGGAGTCTCTTGTCGATTGTGGGCCTGCAAGTAATTTAAAACTACATATTACAACAAAAAACATGCCTAAAAAACATAGATCCATACAAAAGTCCTGTACAAAAGAACATATGTTTTCCACGTTCAAAACTAAAGCTTATAAGCACTACCAGCTTTAATAAACAATTATTCGCCGAAGGCGAGGTGATTATCGGGGAATATTCACCGAGACGAAGTCGAGGTGAATATTCCCCGATATAATCACCTCGCCTTCGGTGAATAGTTGGTTTAGTATTTTTACACAAGACTTTTGTGTTTTTGGGACTGAATTTATTTTAATTTCGCTGATTTCTTTTATCAATATATAACTTCCACAACGGCTAGCCGCCATAGGTTTTGTTATATTCACCTCATGTAGGTGAATATAACAGCTTAATACGTCAAATTTGACCAATCAACTTGTAGCATTGATTATATTCAATTGTGCAAAAATACTAATGAAAATGCTGCAAAAAATTCTGATGAAAACACACACGGTACTTACAAAGTGCACACCCAAATATATGGTCTTCTAAAATCGGAAACGTAAATTGAAAACCAATGTATAGTCAAAGTCTAACCGTAACCAAACAATTACCTGAGCTTGAAGCTTCACTTGAGGTTTCATTTGGCCTTCCAAAGTTTGAGCTGTTTTCTACCATAGCTGCATCAGGCACTTGAAAAACGGATGAAACTATTATATGTAGGGGATATAAGGCTGCGCGAATTAAGATATGCATTCTATTTCGAGTAGTGTGGTTCGTCGAATCGACAATACTCGTTAAACGCCACACGACTGGATATTGGTTTATCGTATTTTATTGTCACAAATAATATTGTGCGCAAATTCAATTCGACCTAAATATTGATATAAATTATATGAAATTATTAGCTAAATAATCAACGTATATGCATGCAATTATTCATCCTTATTTTACTTACTTCTGTGCCAATATCCCCGTGTTAAATCACATTAAAACAGATATACTGCTTAGCATAAACTTAGATACTTTAGTTCCGATTCTCAGGTTAGCAGTTAAACGTTTCGACTGTGTTGTTCTCATGTGTCTCTGCAGTAATACGATAGCCTAATCATAAATGTCAATCAAAGTGAATCAATAATAATTAATATAGTGCAATTAAGTGTAATACATAAGTGTTCAACGCCACATCCTCGCCCCCCAATATGGGGTAATCCTTATTCTTCATCCTTGTCTTCATCAACCAGAACGATAACTACGATCTTCGTGATTGGTCGGTTATATTGTCCACATAACGTTTTGATCTTCACATTTCTCGTTTTTCCATCTTGTCCAGGAAACGTTTCTACGATTCGGCCAATCATCCACTTTCCTCTGACTGCGTTTTCATCGACGCACGTTACCACGTCGTTGACCTTTACATCACGTCGTTGCGTATACCATTTTTTCCTCAGGACCAATTACGGGTAAACGTCTCTGCTCCACTTTCTCCAAAATGAGTCCACCAGTTTTTGAACAAATTCAACTCTGTGTCTTGGGTTTTTGGTTTGTCTAAACGGTTCTTGTGGAACTTCGGACGTTGAACGGCCAAGCAATGTGTCGTTTGGACTGATTTACGTTCCATCATCAGGATCATTAGGTACTCAATACAAATACGTGTATAGTTCAAACGGTGATAGCACTTGGTTGCCGATAGCTTTCTTTAACGCATTCTTGCATGTTTTTACAAACGCTTCTACGCATCCGTTATGGTGAGGGGCCTTCGGGGTAGTGAATCTCCACTTCATACCCTTTTCTGCACAGAATTCACGCAATTCATCCGACTTCCAACCTTTTACCATTCCCTTCAATTCCTTTTCGGCGCCAGCGAACTGTGTGCCATTGTCGCTGATCATAACTGCGGGGGTCCCACGGATTGCAAAGAACCTGCGGAGAACTTGTAAAAATTCCATTGTCCAACAATCGACAGCTAACTCGAGATGGACCGATCGGGTATTCAGGCAGGTGAACAGTACTCCATAATGTTTTGCTGTCTTGTACGTTTCTACCAACTTTGACAACGATTGGACCAAAGTAATCACAAAGCGGTGTGGTGAAACGGTGGGGTAAATGGTGCCAAACGGACATCTGGGAGATTTGCCATGAACTGAGTTTCCAAGTTTTGAGCCATTCTTTTGCAAAATACGCGCTTGTACTTGACCGATTTTGCTAGGTCGTTCGCCTTCACTATCCAGTACTTCCTTCGCCTCTTAGCTGTTGTTGCAGCGATACCATTGTGACCAAACTGATGTGCTTGTCGAATGATTAACAGTGATATCCAATGTGAACTGGGTAGCAGGACAGGATGCTTCGTATCATAGAACACATCTGCTTTTGATACTCTTCCACCAACTCTCAGAATGTCACTTCCGTCTCGAAACGGGGTCAGCGATTTAAATTCTCCTTTTGCTACACGATCTGCAAGAATTTTCTGTGCTTCTTTGATCCAGAACAACTCGGATTCTTGCAATTCTTGCGGTGATAAGGATCTCTCGTTTGAACTTTCTTCATCTTTCTGCTTTCTACATTTTTGGAGGAATCTTCTCACATACGCTGTAACTCTAATCAGTCTTCGCCAACTTGAAAATTTCTTTACATTCATCTCTTCTTCAGCTTTCGTGGACGCGAAATTTAGATCTTTACTTTACGTCGCTCCGTGTCTACTTCCTGTTCTTCATCTACGTTACATACTTCTTCGGGCCACTGATTTTCTGGTAATTGTAAGAATGCTGGACCATGCTCCCATCGACCGTTTAACTCTGAAATTGCTACACCACGGGAGACATCATCAGCTACATTAAGATCACCATTAATATGTCTCCACTCAGCGGGATTGGAATTACTCTGTATTTCTCCCACTGTCGATGATACGAAAGGCTTGTAGTTTCGCGCCTGACTCCGAATCCATGCCAATACGATCTGACTGTCGGTAAAATAGATGATTTTCTCGAACTCAAATCTCGATTCTTCCAGGATACTCTTTCCTAAGCGTGATGCTAGGACCGCTGACTGTAGCTCTAGCCGTGGAATTGTCAGTTCCTTCAATGGTCCAACTCTGGATTTCGCAGCAATGAATTTGGACTCAAATTTGCCATTGTCGATCTGCCATCGAATGTAAGCACAAGCACCAAAGGCTTTTCTTGAGGCATCTGCGAAAACACATAACATTGGTGCTCCAATGGCTGACAAAGGTGTCAAACAACGCGGAAATGCAACTGTATTCAAGTGTTCTAATTCCTTGGGAAATTCAGACCAGTTTTTTGTGTTCCTTCTGGTAATTCTTGATACCATTCTTAACCCATCATCCACAATTCTTGAATGCCTATCTTTGCTCGAATGAGGAACCCTGCAGCGAATCCAATTGGGTCGTAAATTCTTGCAACTCGACTCAGGATAGTTCTTTTGGTTAGCGGTGGTTCTGTCTGTTTTGATTCATCGTTTTCGTTCTTCGTGTTGCTTAGGTCACCTGTCACCTTGTACGAAAACTTGTTCATTTTATGTTTCCATTCCAATCCAAGTACTTTCTCCTTCCTATCTCCTTCGAGCATTTTCAATGCCGTTTCTTCTTTACTGTCTTGTTGATTCAGGGTCTTGTTAGATATCCATTCTTTAACGCAGAGTTTCCAAAATCTTATCATTGTCTTCAGTTCGCTTTCGAGCTTCCTTTACAGTGTCGAGCGAGCCACACAAGTCGTCCATATAGGAGTTAGCTTTAATGGCTTTTGCAGCTTCTGGATATAATTCTTGGTTCTCTTCAGCGGTTTTCTGGAGCGCAATCTGGGCCATAGCCAGTGCCGGTTTATCTCGGAACGTCAACACTGTCTTCACATAGGTTTTCGAGGTCTCGCCATAAATACCAATGAACGCGTTGGTCTTCAAGTGGGATACGAACGCGATGGTACATTTTCGAAATGTCACTACTAATTGCAACTTCTCTCTCTCGAAAACGTAAGACAACTCCAAACAAACTATTTAGCAAGTCAGGTCCCTTTTTACAATAATCATTTAATTTGCTCCCTTGGTTAAAGACAATTCTGACTGGTGTGCTTTTCTTTTCTGGTCGTATAACTGCATGATGTGATATGTAATGCACAGGACCTTCGTAATTTTCAATTTCTTCCTTCGATAACTTGCGCGAAAACTTCATCTCTTCCATTTCAACCATCTGTTTCTGGTATGCTTCGGCTTGGTCTGGGTTGCTTGACAGGCGGCGTTCGGTCGATTCAAGTCGTTTCAGGCTTGATTTCTGTTATCAGGTAACGATCTTGGGTCCTTTTTCCAGGGGTACGGGATCATCCACTGATTGCCAATCTTCTGCGCTGAATTTTCGATCAATACTTTTTCTTCTCGTTCAACCTGAGTGAGTTTATCCGTTTCACAGACACACGGTTTGACAAGAACACCCATACTTTCAATTTTCCAGAACTCGGATATGTCGATTGGTGCGGTATACTTTACGTGGAGGACTCGTGTTGATTCTCTTGCAGTTGCTGCTCCAGATTTGTTGCCAAACAGAACCCATCCTAATGGGGTTTTCTTGCAACGATGTGATCCTTTTGCTTCGTTGAGCCAGTATGTAACTGTGCGTGGTCAATCCTGATTAGGAGATCAATTGGACCTTTCTTTCTTCTTATTCGTTCTCCAGGTAGGCCGAGCTGCTCCATGATGCTCCCTGTATCAATGCTACCACTCTCGCTGCTAATTACTAGAATTCCGATTGCCTTTACAGAATATGTTCTTCGACTATCAATTGCGCTGACTGGGACGTTGTAAACGTTAGTATTTATCTCTTCTTCTTGCCCACCAACTTTCGTTATAGTCACAGAGATTTCTTTTCCTTTGGGCCCGAGGCTCTGTGCAGTTTCTTGCCTGATTAAAGTCACATGGGCACCAGAATCAAACAGTACGTTCCCGCGTTTACGAAGATTATTCGAACCAAATATATCTGCTGAAGTAACAGGAAGCATTGCTTCTACATTCTCGTGTAATGATGCGACACCAATGTTGACTGCATTACTCTTATGTAACAATGGGTGATGGTAATAAGTACATTGTACTCCCTTTTCTGTCTTCGCGCACTGACGTCTTCTTTTGCAATTTGCTTGTTTGTGCTCTCGACCAGCTCTTTTCAAGCAGCTGAAACACACGTGGTTGGATTTTGCAAGGTTTATTCTTTCGTCAACGCTCATAGAACCAAACTTCGTACACTGATCAGGCCAGTGTGTCGAGTCGTTGCATGACCAGCACTTGTGTCGTTCGTTCTGATCCTTCTCATAGCCAAAATGATGCACGTTTCGACGACTAGATCCTGCATTTCTTATTGGTGCTGTAGCTCTCATCCTTGACTTCATTTCAACAGTCATCCACTCCATCAATCCGCTAAATGTTGCAGGTTTTCCCTCCTTTTCTAAATCTCTTGACCATATCTTTCTGTCACTAGGACACATTTTTCTTTCAATCACTGATAACATATGGCTATTATCCATGTCGCTTGGTATACCCACTTCTTTTAATGTGTTGTAGGACCGTTTTACCAAATGCACAAGGTCACAGAAGCGCGCATCCTCTTCTTCTTGTAAAGCTTTGAATTGGGCGATATCCTGCATTATCGTATCAGATACATGCCTTACTGTACGTCCCCATAGATAGAGTCCAAATACTGCCATGCCGCGTCATAATCTGACCAATACCTTGAATCAGTTCTAGGGGTTTATCATTTAGACACGTCCGTAACAAAGTTATTGCGTCCCGTTTACTGTACCTTGATTCAATTGTGTGCTTGAAATCAGCCCGAAAGATTACATATTCCCTCACATCTCCTGAAAATTTGGGTAACTTTGGTTTTTCCATCTGAAAACCACACGATTGTTCATATTTCACTGTGCTAACATTTCACTGTACCAATAATCGTCTTTTCCAGATTGTTGGTAGCTCCATTTTCTACATTTGACACATCATTATGTCCACTTCCGTCCGTAGCTGATGTAATTTCCTCTGGCGTCTCAATACCCATGTTTTGCGTCAAGCTGTCAACTTCTTCCGGTGCGCTTTCGTTTTGCATTCCGATCATTCCTGCTGGCTGTTGCAATTCTGTTTCGGAGTTTTCAGCATCAACGTGCTCCACATAGGTCTTGACTTCTAAATCAATTCTTAAAAAGTATTCTTGACACTCCGCTACCCATTTTTCTTCCTTTTCAAACTCATTATCGTCCGTAATTGAGCTCCGCTACCCATTTTTCTTCCTTTTCAAACTCATTATCGTCCGCTATTAATAGTGCAAATAATACTTTACGAACAAACGTATAGTGAATGATAAAAAATTAAAATATTGCTTTCAACCACGAAAATATAAAATCTGAATCAGTTAATAAAAGAAACAGAAAACAAAACAGCACTCATTCTGGCTAGTGCTGTCTGCATTGACATCTTCACTAGTAAAGAGATCACAAAATATCTCACTGATATTTCGTGATGTCTTTAAGAGTTCGTGTATAAGCTTATCAGTAGATACTTTATCATCATTTAATTTGTTTACCTGTACTTTAATTCTTACTTATCTGCCTATTATAACTGTCAACTACAACTTTACCCATTCTGATGTTGTGTAGGCTGCGAGCGGCTCTCTTTGACAACATTGGGTCCGACAGGCGACGAAACAAAACGTTTGTCTTACTAAATCTGTATTACCCGTTTTATATTAGGGAGCTTAAGCAAACGACGTTTTTGTCAACACGGACGTCAGATTGCCGAGGGGGGACTGGATTAAAAACTGTGTTTGTATCAGTTTGTCTGTTTGTGGTAATCTTCATCACATATGACAAAACGTAAGGTTTTTGAAGTTTTTCGCTTCCTTACATCAGCGATATGATGCAAAACGCCTCCAATATTAGTGATACCAATTTTCAGATGACGTCCGTCCGTGTTGACAGAAACGTTGCATGCTTAAGCTCACTAATACCTCGATAGTCCTAACCCAGCAAACATGATTGTCAACTAACGATTTCAAAACTGGCAAAGTAAAAACGTCTTTGGCATTAGCCACTTACCAGTATTGAGCCAAATTTTTACACTCTCTATGTCAAACACTTTGGACGAGCGTTTGTCCGACCGGCAAACTGCAGGGGATTTATCGTTGTAGAATCTCTGAAGGTCACTAAGCTTCCAGAAGTGGCGGTGCCCACAACGGTCTGAATGACACTGGATCTCATCATGACGAGAACACTTTCTTTCTTCTTTACCAAAGCAGCAGGTACATTCCACTTCGAGGTCATAGCTGGTCATGCTGAATAATAGTTGGTCTGGAGATTTAAGGTCGTCCAAACACTTTTTCAGAGTGGCGTTAAGATGAATGGCAAACTTGGAATGGTTGCCATCCTGTTTTGGAAAAACGGCAACCTTAATGAACTCGTGGAGGTCGATTAAACAAATATCATACACGTCGCCGTCCATAATAAGTGGAAGCAAGGAGTAGTTGCAGTAGAAAGAAGGCGTGGCTTGTTGATTCGGGAAGCGCTTTTCCCACTCAGAAATTAACTTCACTTGAAGCTTCGTAAACAGGCTCATCGGCACAAGTTGGCGAGGAAATGTCACAAACAGCGATGGAACATTTAACTCCATTTTGCTAGCTTCCAACTCCATTCCTGGTATCATAGCTGGCGCAACTGAAGGGACGCAAAAGGCTGCCTTTCCATCGTGTTGGAAAGGAAAAATCAAATTAAACTTTTGCATAAGTTCTTTTAAAAGTTCTGCGTCTTCCAGCGTCTCAAGATATTCTCGAAACAAAATGCCTTTTTGCTTGAACACATCAAGAGCGTGCCTGGACAACGCATTCAATTTGCCAGGCATGGAGATCACTTTCGTAAAGCGATTCATTAACCAGGGAGGATCCAATACAACCTTGCTGGATCCACTGTGGTGTACGACCACACCTTGGCGGTGCAGAAATTTGATAGCATGATCAAACTCCCCAACGCCACAGGCCTCCGCTTCCTGCTTAGCTTCGTCAACTGGGATATACTTGCAATCTCGTGATAGCTTCTGGCTTAGAGCAGCTTCAAAATCTAGCCACTTCACAGGCATTAAAATCTCCTGGTTAAGGACTCCATTCAAGAGGTCAAAAAGCTTTCTACGAAGCTTTCGCACGTCGTCTCCGTCGTCACCTTCCAATGTATTGTCGATCACGAAAAACTCTGGGACGACATTCTCATATTTTCCTCCAGATAAGACCATGTTGATTCTTTTTTGCACGCAATCTATTTTGCTGTCGTTGCCTTTCACCTCATCACTGTGAGTCAAGGCTATTAAAACTGGTGGCAGTTTAAAGTTCTCACCCTTTGCAGTGGTAAAGTGACCAGATTTATCAGGAAACTGTTGACCTTGGCATTCTCCTAAACCTTGCAGGAACTTCAACCATGATGTAAAATTATCTAAATTGGTATTAAGTTGAGGATTGTTCATCTCTATCTCTTCCTCTTCATTACTTGTTTTAAATTTGGGAACGGCCGGTTTATCAAACTCCAGAGAAAGGTCGTGAACCAAAACATAAGGGCAATGCGGTTTCACAAAGCAGCCATGGGTATCGTAATAGATTGACTGCCCAGCAAAGTCACTTACAAATACCCGAAGAACTTCGTTCTGGTCGTGTTCAGTGGACCTCTGCGATTTGATTTTGGATATTTCTTCACTTAATAATGGCTTCACTGGCATCACTGGCTTCAATGGCTCTGGCGCATCCCCTTCTAAATTCCTCTGAACTCCTCTATCAAGGTACTCGGCAGTTTTTTTGTATAACACTGTCTTTGCCTCACTTTCACTGGTCATGAACTTCCTCACTTTTCTCTTTTTCCAGGGATCTTCTGCATTTTGTTCTGTTAGCTCGATAACATTAACGTCAATACCAGTGGTACTGGGTTGATCTTTGTCGAATGGTAATCCTAAAAGACGTGTCATCAGCGACGTCTTTCCGCCTCGGTCTTGCCCAACCAGCATAATCGGAATTCGATTATTTTTTGCTTCACCTTCATGGAGAGCTTGCGAATATGCACGGCTATATTCTTCCTCTTCAATATCTTGACAAAATAAAGTTATAACAAATAAGAGTTAGCACAACGTAAAATGAAATATAACGTCCATCAAATCACTCTGTATGTTGTATTGCTGCGTTTTGCAACAATTACAAGTATAGAACTCTAGGCTCTGTGCTGCTAGCATCTGACAAGATGGAAACACATGCACACGAATAATTATTGTACTGTTGCTTGAATATATTCGAGCTACAGTATTGCTGAATATTATTGTGCAAAGCGCGCAAACCTGTGCAACTGCTGCAACATGGTCAAATTACGAAGCATTCACACAACTAGAATTTGGAAGAACCCAAAAACCCGAGTTATATTCAAGTTAGAACTGGTCAATGATTTCTCAAAACAATAGTCTTTGGCGTTTTCATCCTGACTTCGCGTTTTCTACCAAGCCACGTTTACTCCCTTCAGACAGAATTTAAAATTTTGTGAAGAAGAGACTGAAGAGTAATCTAAAATTGACAGTACAGTATATACAGTAAGTAATTATCGTATCGAGCCGAAGGCGAGAATTTGTACTGTATATCAACACGGCCGCTCATCTTGTAAATGGCTTGTGAAACGTCTTGATGAGAACATTCGTATTCTTCAACAATGTAAAATAAATTAATGATATTTGGTGAGACAATTGAACTTAAAGTTTATGTAAATCTAAAAATAGGTACGCAGTGCGTACATGTTGCATGCCATCTGAAACTTATGATGCGCTATATAGCGCTTATAACCCTTGGTACAACTGGTGTGAAACTTAAAATATTGATTCAATAAGTTTAATATAGATATATTTATGTCAAAATAAGAAAACTAAGATTCTCACGCGAATAGGCAATGTTTTTATCAGCGACTGTTAATAGTTAGTTGCAAGCGACGGTAATAACAATTAAGGTCAAGGTGGTTCAAAGTTTTATCGAAAGCAATTGACTGTTAGAATTCCTTTACAAATTTATAACTAAATAACGTTATTTCCAACACTGCTATAGATTTAGCTTTATTGTAACTTTTCAAAGGTTTTAAAAACCAGTGGAAACGGTGAATTGCTATAATAGATTGAAAATGATTATTAAGCTATGATTGAAATTGTCGAAGTTGAAAAAGTTTAAAGGTACTAGTTAGTTAATATGACCTTACGCTTTTTTTCTAATTCATTTGGGAGAGAAGAAATGGCTGTATTTATCATTTTGGCGTTTGAGTGATTGAAATGAGTTAATTTACCCTACTGTAAACCTCAGAATATAAGCCCTTCCCGAACGTAAGCCCC